GTTACATTTTCTTCATGAATTAACTCCATCATTAATAAATAAACACCTTTACTCTGGTTATATTCTTTGCTCTTTAAAGCACTTATATATCTACTCCATCTTTCTCTTACTTAATGTTAGCATGATATATACTTTTCCATCTTTCGATTCTTGGCCTGTTTGTGTATTTACATTCAAACTGTGTTTCTCATAGGTGGCATATACTCAGCTCTTGGATTTGTATTTGATCTGACAATTTCTAACTTTTAATTGCTATTTGAGAGTTCCAAAAACATACAATGGGTAAAAGATAGTTGTTGCTCCCCCTCTTCATGGAGGAACAACACTAAACCTGCCTAGGCTTCATATCCGGGTCACGGCACCATTATGTCGCTCCCCGTCTTCGTGGAGGAACGACACAGGACCCTGCGCTGTTCTTTTGTCTGCTCGGCCCTCCCCGGGTTTGCTGCTGGTTCTTCCCGGGTTGGCTGCCGACCCTTCCACCTCCGTGGAAGGGCAGTTCCCCCTGCCACATTCCCCACTTCCGCGGGGGAGCAGCACACCGCCGGCCGGCTCTCTCGGGGGCTGCACAGGTGTTCCCCTTAGATGTTCCCCTTAGATGTTCCTGGTGCATGTTGTCTCTCTCCTCCTTTATAGTCCTCTTCCGCCAATCCCAACTCGGCTGCCCACACGCCGAGTACGCTGCTCTCCTCCAATCAGGAGCAGGATCAGCTCCTGGAGGTCAGCACTCAAGTTGGCAAGAGGCAGCTGCGTAGAAGCTGTTTTCTCCTCTCCCAGCGCCATATTGTGGGAGAGCAGATGCATAGAATAAGTCTTAATTCCAGTAACTCAGTCCAGTCCGGGTTGCTCCCCACAGATCCCCCTTTCTTTTTATTTTTTGGCGTTGATACACACCTGTCTTCGGTGTCCCATGGCACACACTCTGCTCTGCTTGCTAGAGTTGCCCACAGGTGCTTACAAGTCCTATCAATCAGGCAAACCGAATCCGGGTCCTCTCTTCACCATGTTGTGAGGAGGTTTTTAGGCGCTGATGCGTGCCTGTGTTCAGTGCCCTGCAGCGCATGCTCTGCCCTGCTAGAACTGCCTGCAGGTGCTTACAAGCCCTATTAGGCAAACCGAATCCAAGCCTTCTCATTGCCGTCTTGTGGGGAGACTTATTAGTGTTGGTTCGTGCCTGTCTTCGGTGACCTGCAGCTCATACTCTGGTCGAGCCGCCTGCTGGTGCTTACCGCCTTACTAATCAGGCAGACCGAATCCAAGCCTTCTCATTGCGGTATTGTGGGGAGACTTATTGATGTTAATTCGTGCCTGTCTTCGGTGACCTGCGGCGCATAAGCTGCTAGCCGCCCGCAGGTGCTTATCGTCCTAATCAGGCAGACCGAATCCAAGCTCTCTCATTGCTGTGTTGTGGGGAGGCCTTATTTTTTCTCTATTTCTCTATCTCCGGGCATTCCTATTTCTCCCATTTTACTTCTATCTGCCAGCATTCCTATTTCTCTCATTTTACTTCTAAACTTCCCGCGGCTTCTCTTATCCCCGCGGTTTCCCGGCGCCGGACCCGAGGCTGCTTCTCGGCACCTCGCCCCGCGGCAGCTTCACAGCTCTGCGCGGCTTCCCGGCGCCTCGCCCTGCGGCGGGCTCCCGGCTCTGCGCGGCTCGGCTTCGCGCGCACACTCCGCGGTCTCCATGCACTTCGTGCCCGCACCACGGCCTCGCGCCAGCCTCGCGTTCCCTATCTATTCACGCCCCGTGCTCTCTCTGCACGCGGCGGCTTCCGCGAATCACATAGCGTAGCTCACGTTTCCGCCACCACCGGTATTCAATCCAAGTTCCCCGGACTAACCTGGCGAATTCCAACCTGGCAGCCCACATCTCTGCCTCTGGTTCCAGATCTTCGCCTCTTGCTCCCCGGGCTGACTTGAAGAATTCCAAGCTGGCTTACGTCTCCGCCTCGGCCTGCACTCGCGGCTTCATCCTCCCTAACATTTTTCTCTACCCGGTATGTTTCCCTAAGTTTTCTTCCAACAATATTCCTCCCTCATTTCTCCTGGCCTCTCCCCACAGTCTGTATCCAAGTCTAAGTTTCTTATAGGTTTCACTTTCACTTTCAACCTGCAGTCCGTATCTGAGTCTAAGTTTCTTCTTGCTTTCACTTTAAATACTAACTTCTTTCCCACAGTCCATATCCGATTCTATGCCTAGGCTTTCGATAGCTTCTTCTGGCACATTTTCCGTCCGGCTTTTCCTTAGGCTCTTTGCTAGTCTCTCTCTCCGGTATTTTCCACTTCTTCCCATTTCTTCCCTCCTAGGTTTCCTATCCGAGTCACGGCACCATTATGTCGCTCCCCGTCTTCGTGGAGGAACGACACAGGACCCTGCGCTGTTCTTTCGTCTGCTCGGCCCTTCCCGGGTTTGCTGCTGGTTCTTCCCGGGTTGGCTGCCGACCCTTCCACCTCCGTGGAAGGGCGGTTCCCCCTGCCACATTCCCCACTTCCGTGGGGGAGCGGCACACCGCCGGCCAGCTCTCTCGGGGGCTGCACAGGTGTTCCCCTTAGATGTTCCCCTTAGATGTTCCTGGTGCATATTGTCTCTCTCCTCCTTTATAGTCCTCTTCCACCAATCCCAACTCTGCTACCCACATGCCGAGTACGCTGCTCTCCTCCAATCAGGAGCAGGTCCTACAGTTTATTGGTTGAACTGGAGGCAGCTGTGTAGAAGCTGCTTCTCCCTTCTCAGCGCCATATTGTGGGAGAGCAGATGCATAGAATAAGTCTTAATTCCAGTAACTCAGTCCAGTCCGGGTTGCTCCCCACAATAGTCCGTTCAACAAATGGTGCTGAGAAAATTGGACAGTCACATGCAAAAGAATTGAGAATTTGACCCTCATTTTATACCATACACAAAAATCAACTTGAAATGGATTAAAGATTTAAATGTAAGTCCTGAAACTGTAAAACTCTTAGCAGAAAACAAGGGGAAATCTTCATGACATTGAGTTTAGCAATTATTTCTTGGATACGATACTGAAAGGACAAGCAAGAGAAGAAAAATAAGACAAGCAGAACTATATCAAGTGAGGCTTCCGTACAGCAAAGAGAACTACAGAATGAAAAGAAACGTACAACATGGAAGAAAGCATTTGGAAACCATATATCTGACAAGGGATTAAAGTTGAAAATATTTAAGGAATTCCTACAAATCAATAGCAAAAATAATAAATGACAATAATAATAATCCAAGAAAAAATTGGCAAAAATCTTAAAAAGACATTACTCTAAAGAAGACATACAATGGACAACAGCTATATAAAAAGATTCTCAAGGCCAGCACTGTGGAATAGCAAGTTAAGTCACCGCCTGTAGCACCTGCCTCCCACTGGTTCAAGTCCCAGCAGCTCCACTTCCAATCCAGCTCCCTGTTTCTGTGCCTGGGAAAGCAGTGGAAGATGGTCCAAGTGCCTGGGTCCCTGCATCCTGGCCCAGCCTTGGCCATTGCAGCCATTTGGGGAGTGAACCCGCAGAATGGAAGACTTCACACATGCGTGCCTCTCCCTCTAATGCTGCCTTTCAAATAAATAAATCTATTTAAAAAAAGATTCTTAACATCATTACTCATCAGGAAAATGCAATTCCAAGTCATGATAATATATCTCCTCATATCTGTTAAAATGGCTATCATAAAAGATAATAGGGGCTGGTACTGTGGCATAGTGGGTAGAGTTGCCACCTCCATTGCCGGCACCCCATATGGGCACTGGTTCCAGTCCTGGCTGCTCCACTCCACTTCTCTCTGCTATGGCCTGGAAAAGCAGTGGAAGATGGCCCAAGTGCTTGGGCCCCTGCACCCACGTGGGAGTCCTGCAAGAAGCTCCTGGCTCCTGGCTTCAGATTGGCACAGCTCTGGCAGTTGCAGCCAACTGGGGAGTGAACCATCGGATGGAAGACCTCTCTCTCTCTCTCTCTCTCTCTCTCTCTGCCTTTCCTTCTCTGTGTAACTCTGACTTTCAAATAAATAAATAAATCTTTATAAAAAGATAATACAGATAAGTAAATAAGTATTGGCAAGGTTGTGGAAAAGGTAGAATCTTTCCACATTAATGACAGGAATGTAAAATGGGGCAGCCTCTATAGCAACCAATGCGTTCATAACACAAAGAACTAATAAATGTTTAACGTAATGTAAATGCTAATTATCTTTCTTTAATCATTGCGTATTGTGTGCATGCCATGAAAATACCACACTTATCTCATAAATATGCATGATTTCTATGCATACACTTAAAATTAAAATGTATTTATTTTTAAGATATATCGTGTTGAACAATATACCAGCCACAGAAGAGTATATAACTGCATGTATTCATTCATATATGGCACATTTAAAATATCAAAACTAATCTATGCAGTTAGGTGTCAGGGTGGCATTTAGCTTTGGTGTGGGTAAGTGGTAAGAGCAATGGGTGGGGAGCAAGTGGTGGGTTTCTGGATTCTGTAATGATCAGTTTCTGGGTCTGAGTGCTGTGAGCTGGGGGTTTTCAGTCTATGAAAATGCACTGAGTCGTACCCTTTAATGTGTATGCTTGTTCACATTTTTATGATCCTTGCAAAAAAATTAAACGCATATATGCCTTTGAATCTTTACCCGACTAGTTAAGTAATATCTCCATTTTATAGATGAAATGGTATGTGTAAGTTATTTCTTTAATTTGAGTTACTTTGCATAGCTATTAGGTGCCTCAGAAATGGTCTGTAGGCTCTTTTCACATTCCAAGATACAATGGGTTTACAAAGCCACCTATTTGGAATCTGATTAGCTCTCTGAGTCTCTTTTGGTTATAATCTCTGTTGACTTCCCTAATCTATAAAAGTTTCCAAATTTCTATATCCAAAGATGAGACTCTTTGATATTTTATATCACAAAAACAAAGTTTTCTTGAATAGTAGAAAAGTGGGATTTCTTCTACTAATTTTAGATTTATTGCCTGTACTCGTTTTCTGTAGGCGAGCAAAGGTCGGACTACAATCGTGGTAGCTCACCGACTTTCCACTGTCCGAAGTGCAGATCTGATTGTGACCATAAGGGATGGGACAGTGGTGGAAAGCGGAACACACGCTGACCTCATGGCAAAGCAAGGGCTATACTACTCACTTGCCATGTCACAGGTAATGTGCATGTCACTCGGTGTTTTCTCAGTGGGTTTCTTTTTAACTTTTCAAAAGTCCCAAATGACAAGTGTGAATTTCACAAAGTAATCAAGATTTGCCTGATACGAATATCAATAAGAGAAAATAATAATAGTCAAATTAACCCTATTTGAGATTTTCTTTAAAGACTACAACTCTAAGATCCTTCCTCAAGGTAACACAGCTTCATTCTTTATTACAATTAAACCAAAAATTCATAATTAAGTCTTAAGTTAGAACATTTCATGATGTAGAAGAAATAAAAATTATGTGTGGTATAAATGTATAAAAATTTTAAAACTTTTATTCCAAATTAGCTAGTATTTTTCAATTATCTAAAACTATGTCCATTCAGATGTCACCATACATTTTAATTATTAATACTCAATGAGCAACTATAATATTCTAAGTATTATATAGTCAGCATAACATAAATAATATATACATAAACCAGTAACTCTTTTTTTAAACTTGGAGACACTTGCTACCTGTAGCATCAAGGTGAATCTACTTATAAGAATTCATGAAGGGGCTGGTGCTGTGGCGTAGTAGGTTAAACCTCCACCTGTGGGGCCAGCATCCCATATGGGCACCAGTTGGAGTCCCAGCTGCTCCTCTTCTGACCCAGCTCTCTGCTATGGCCTGGGGAAGCAGTGGAAGATGGCCCAAGTCCTTGGGCCCCTGCATCCGTGTGGAAGACCCAGAAGAAGCTCCTGGCTTCAGATGGGCTCAGCTCTGGCCATTATAGCCATTTGGGGAGTGAACCATGGATGGAAGAACTCTCTCTCTCTCCTTCTCTGTCCCTCTCTCTGTCTGTAACTCTGCCTCTTAAAAAAATCTTTGAAAAAGAAAAGAATTCATGAAGACCTCAAGTATTACAAAGTGAATGCTGCTAAGAACCCCTGAGAAGCAGCATAGCCAAGTGGCTAAGATGATGATCTCTTGAGTGGCAAGCTGACTCTGCCACTTAATAATTTTAGCATCATGAGCAAGTTAGTCAAATTCTCAGTGCCTCAGTTTCCTAATCACTAGCATGGAAGAAATAATAGCAACCCATTAATGAATTATTATGAATATTAAGTGGGGTAATTCACGTAAAGTGCTTAGAATTACTGTTGGCATAGTAGATTTTATTATATTATTACTAGCATTAGCATGATTCCATAAGACTTTTCAGAAAAGCTCACACCAGAGAGATTAATGTATAACTATTTTTCTGTTCTGTACACAATTTTTTACAGATGTATTCCTTTAATGAGCTTCTATGTGAAAATGAAATACAAAGAGGTAGAAATATATGCACATCAAAACTTACTGCCATCGTTGTTATTCTATCTAGCAGCCTTCCCAAGGGTAGGAATTGTTGTTGACCTGGTAAAGCACCTTCCTTAAAAGATTTGTTATGAGAAGAGGTCACAGTTTTATTTTAAACTTGCCACAAAGTAAATAACCCCTGGGAGGAAAAAAAAAATAAAGCCAAATAAAATATTTCTTTCTTGGGAGAAAAATGTATAGGGAAAAAAAGGTGACAGCACAAAGGAGTGCCTGATTCCAGGTATCAGGAGAGTAGAAGGCCAGTTAAGGGTCCTTGTCGCTTTAAGCGACTGTTAAACTGTTGCTAAGCTTGTGGAGAACCTCAGTGAACCTGGAATGTCTTCCATGCAAGCACTGTCTTTGTGCACAGAAGTCTACACACATCTCTGCATCTCTACACCCTGAGCCTGGTCTGAGCCACTCCTCACTTCTCTCTCTCTCTCTTTCTCTGAAATATTTGTTTATTTATTTATTTGAAAGGCAAAGTTACAGAGAGGGAGAGACAGAGAGAGAGAGGGATCTTCCACCTGAATGGCACCAATAATCAGGGCTGGGCCAGGCTGAGGCCAGGAGCCTGGAACTCCATCTGAGTTTCCCACCTGGGTGCAGGACCCCAAGTACTTGGGTCATCATGTGCTACATTCCCAGGCACACTAGCGGAGAGCTGGATGGGAAGTGGAGCAGCCAAGACTTGAACCAGTGTCCACATGGGATGCTGGCGTTGCAGGTGGCAGCTTAACTGGCTATGCCACCATAGCAGTCCCCTTCCTTCTCTCTTATCCTCCCCTCTTGTTTCTTCTTGGAAGTCACAAATTTCCTCCCATCCCATGTGGATGAAGAGAGACTTTGCAGCTCCTTTATGTCACTCAAACTGGTCTTGTTTCTTGGAGGAATAAGATAAAGAAAAACGAGAGCTAAAGCAAACTGGTTTAGAACTTCATTCTGGTCTATAGTTTTAGGATACTTTGATTTCTAGAATTTCTTAATCTTTTTGAATTTTGTTTTTAAGGCATTTATTAATATATTATATTTATATTCTCAGGGTCACAGTGAATGCATGATAATTACTATAAGACAATTCTCATAAATTCTCATGTTACTATTGCATTAATACAAAGAGAACAGATCCCATGTCGTTCACAGATACAATTCCAATGATATAAGATACTTCCTCCCTCTTTCCCTCTCTACTTTCTCTTTTTCTCTTCCTTTCTTTCTGTCTTCTTTACTAATTTTTGAGCTAACATATTTTTAATTCATTATAGTCAAAAGCTTAATACTCCATTAAATAAAATAATTCAACAAATAAAAAGCAATAAGACCATAGTTCCTTGGGAATATAGGCAAGGGTTATAAATAATAATCGAATGAAAAGATGTTCTTTTCACTCATATATACTAAATTTAAAAACAATCACAAACCATTAACACTACAATAGTATATCATATGATTTCTTATTGTTCAGGAACTGACCAATCCATTTTGATTTTTTTTTTTTTTTTGACAGGCAGAGTGGACAGTGAGAGAGAGAGACAGAGAGAAAGGTCTTCCCTTTGCCGTTGGTTCACCCTCCAATGGCCGCCACGGCTGCTGCGCTGCGGCCAGCGCACCGCGCTGATCCGATGGCAGGAGCCAGGAGCCAGATGCTTTTCCTGGTCTCCCATGGGTGCAGGGCCCAAGCACCTGGGCCATCCTCCACTGCACTCCCTGGCCACAGCAGAGAGCTGGCCTGGAAGAGGGGCAACCGGGACAGAATCCGGCGCCCCAACCGGGACTAGAACCCGGTGTGCTGGCGCCGCTAGGCGGAGGATTAGCCTAGTGAGCCGCAGCGCCGGCCCATTTTGATTTTTTGGGAGCCAGCGCTGTGGCACAACAGGTTAATGCCCTGGCCTAAAGCGCTGGCATTCCATATGGACGCCAGTTCTAGACCTGGCTGCTCTACTTCCAATCCAGCTCTCTGCTGTGGCCTGGGAAGGCAGTAGAAGCTGGCCCAGTCCTTGGGCCCCTGCACTCATGTGGGATACCCGGAGGAAGCTCCTAGCCCCTGGCTTCGGATCGGCACAGCTCTGGCAGTTGTGGCCAATTGGGGAGTGAACCATGGGATAAAAGACCTCTCTCTGTCTCTCTTTCTCTCTCTCTCTCTCTTTGCCTCTCCTCTCTCTCTCTCTCTCTCTCTCTGTAACTCTTTCAAATAAATAAATAAATAAATCTTTATAAATTTGTTTTTATTTGAGAGGAAGAGAGAGAGAGAGATCTGATCTGCTGGTTCAGTTCCCAAATGCCAGCCATGGCCATGGCTGAGCTGAGACAAAACCCTGGAGTCGGAACCCCAGGAGCCAGGAACGTGGGTGGCAGGGATCCAACAACTTGAGCCATGGCCTCGTGCCTCCCAGTATCTGTATTAGCAGGAAACAGGAGTTAGGGATCAGAGGTGGGAATTGAACCCAGGACTCAGATATGGAATGCAGATGTGTTAACCAGGGTCTTAACTGCTAAGCCAAATCCACCACCCACCCCCGCCTCCCACCACCAGTTTTGCTTTTTAGGCAGTTTGGAAAGAACAGCAGCAGCAGGCCTGGAAATCCCTGCCTCAGGTCCAGGACCAGCCTCACGTATAAGCTCCTCGTTATACATCATAAATGTAACAGCTCTGGAAAAGGCTAGGAGGAAGGGATTAGAACGTGAACCCTGAGTCTCAAAAAGCCCCCTCCTTGCTGGTGTTCTAATTGTTTTGGATTAAGGCATTGTTTTCTCCAGCTAATTAGATAGGTTTTTAGAAAAGAAAGTACCATAAGCTACTGCCAGTCAAGTAAGCTATCAGTCATTAATATTTTAGTAGAAGTTAGACTTAGTAGCTCTCAGTCAAACGGAAAAACTGTGCAGCAAGAATTGCACAAGAAAATGCTGTTTCCTATAGCGAAGGCAGTGACCGCTTTAAAGGAAGACCTGATAAAATTCCTTCGTGTTTTTAAGGTGTCATCCTAACAGCAACCTTGTGCCCTCCTCATTTCAGGATATTAAAAAAGCTGACGAGCAGCTGGAGTCAAGGCCGTGTTCTTTGGGCAGAAATGCCAGCCCTGCTCCTCTGTGCTCGACACATAGCATCAAGCCAGATGTTACCGAGAGCTCTGAGGACTCCACCCCTTATAAACAGGTAATGACGCGGCCATGAGCAAGTTCTGTCCATGTGTCCCCAGTTTTGATTTGGTCCTCATAAAATTCAGAATGCATTTATGAGAAGACATCACTATAGCAGTAAGTTCACAAAACACGTCTTTTCCAAACTCCATTCTAGCATCCCTGTGACCCCCTAAGAAGGAGGCTGCCCTATGAGACTGCATTTATGTCAGAGGTCCTTGTAGAGATAAAAATATCTCATGAGACTGTTGCATTACATCAGAAGGATCCATGGGCCAAACTAAGGCCTCAGGAAGTGGGGTACAGACGTACAAACGAGGTTCAAGATGGACTTTTGTTTTTTATTCAAGAGGTAGAGAAACAGAAGCAGACAGACAGATTTGTCTGCTTGCAGTGACCAGTACTGGGCACAAAGTGGGAGCTGGGAATTCAACGTGGGTCTTCCCAGTTACTCATGTCATCAGCTGCTATCCCCCAGAGCCCGCATTAGCAGGAAGCAGGGGGGCACAGCCAGGAATCCAAGCCAGATACTCCAAGCTAGTACGTGGGCATCTTCACTGGCTTCGCCTCCAGAGGATGTCTGAAACTCCAGATAGGACCCAACCCCACATGTAGTATGTTCTTTCCTATTCATAAATACCAATGATAAAGCTGAATTTATAAATTAGATGCAACACAAGATTAACAAAAATAGCTAGCAATAAAATAAAACAATTATAACAATATATGAGTACCATGAAAACAAAATCATGTAGGGTTTCATTGAAGAAAGCAGGAAGGAAAGAGTTGCATGCATCACCCCTCCCCCAGCTCCAAGGAATGCAGTGTGGAGAGACTACTCCTGCTTGGGAGAGGGCAAGCAAACCTCAATGCCAGGCCCACCTTAAGTCAGTGGGCTGAGTCTACTTGGTCCCTGCCCCCAGGCCTTTAACCCATGGAGTGAATATTTGGAGCCTCCACAGTCTGGTGGTCTCTGGGCACCCCTTCCTCAACTGCCAGCAGAAAGCAAAACCCCAAACCCTGTAGAGAGGCAGAGAAAGGGAGCTTAGGATCACACGATGGAGCTAAAAGCCAAGCCTACTGCACCAAGACCTAGAACCTGTAGAACCTGATAAAGCCCAAAGGCCTCTACCACCCAGCTGGTGTTCACAGACTGAGTCACTAGACCTCCCCAAACATGAGGCACACACTTAAACTCTAGTGGTTGTTCTCAATTTGGTGTGTGTTACTGTCGGCCTCAGGTGGGCCTGGTAGATACTCCCAGGACTTTTTGGGGACTAGGGACTGTGGGACCTAGGTGTGATCAGCCTGGGGCCAATTTGGGTGCTGAAGTACCCCAATGTTGAGCAGACAGCAGGGGACCAAGGCACTGTGTCCTGGAATGCAGTGCTGGACTGGTAAATCCCAATGCTGGGCAGATCCTAAGTTTCCAGGCCCAGGTGGATGGAGCTCTGGACTTGCCCCAGTGTCAGGCAGGGAGACACATTTGTTTTGGTATATAGCACCATCAGCCTCTTGTGGGCCCGGAGTGCAACCAAAAGATTGCACAGGCCCTGGTGACAGTGACACCCAGTGGTGACAACCTAGGGCTTGCCTGAGTGGCAGGAGCTGCCTCTTTTACGCCTCCTACAACCTCAGGAAGACAGAAAGGAATCACAGGATTGCTTGGGAACTCAGTGCCAGGCTGATAAAACCCCGCGGTGAGCAGATACTAATGGTCCCTGACACCAGGCCCCAGTGCCTGAAGTGTCTGGACCTATTTCAGTGCCCAGTGGAGTCCCACGGTCCTGGTTGAGCAATCTTATACCCCAGCATCACCAGTGGATGACAAGTACAACATCAAGCAGTGAGCTCCCCTCAACAGCAGACAGAGGACAGCACAGCTCTGCACAGGAGCATACGGCTTAGAAGTTCAGGGCAGCCACAGATGAAGCTGGATTACTAAAGCTAATTCTTCAATGAGCAGATGACATCATACTTCAGGCATCAAGAACTCCCAGAGAACCACATCATCCAAAGAACAAAATAAGGTGCCAGAAGCCAACCATTTAGGAAATGAAATTTCAAAATGCTCAGATGAAGATTTCAAACAGGCTATTGTAAAGAAAACCAGCGAGGTTCAGGAGGAGAATATGGAGAAAGGATTCAAGGAGCCGGTGCTGTGGCATAGCGGGTAAAGTCACCGCCTGCAGTGCCAGCATCCCATATGGGCACCAGTTCGAGTCCCAGCTGCTCCACTTCTGATCCAGCTCTCTGCTATGGCTTGGGAAAGCAGTAGAAGATGGCTTGAGTCCTCGGGCCCCTGCACCTGTGTGGAAGACCCAGAAGAAGCTCCTGGCTCCCGGCTTCAGATCAGTGCAGCTCCAGCCATCGCAGCCAATTGGGGAGTGAATTTGCTGTGGTGTAGCAGGTAAGGCAGAAGACTCACTGGACAGAATAACTACACCAACAAATACAGAATGCCCCAATATTGTAAACATGATGTGTAAATTATTTATATCTTTACTGTGAATACTAAAACAGAGTATAATTACTATGCTAAAATGTTAAGAGGCAGGCTATATGGAAAGAAGTTAAATGCAGCATCAAAAAACTCAAAATGTGGTAAAGATCAGAGCACAGATGTAGAATTCTTTATCAGAATTTCTTGTATCTTTGGTTTTTGCTTGTCATTTTTCTTATTTTTATAACCAATGTTAAGTTGTTATCATTTCAAAATAGCTTATTATAGCCAAAAGAAGTTTTTTGCAAGTCTCATGGTATCCACAAAGCAAAAACTATGCATAGACTTACCAAAAGCAATAAGCAAGGAATCCAAGTACACTACTAGATAAAAATTACTCAGCAACAAATGAAGATTGTAACTTGGGGGCAAAGAAAGAGATTATAATAAAAATATAAAACAAATATCAAATTGACAGAAGTAAGACCTTACATATCAATGATCAACTTAAATGTCAGTGGACTCAATTCTCTAAAAGTTACAGAGTGACCAAATGGATTGAAAAAAATGCAACTCAACTGCACTCTTTAAAAAAAATGTATTTATTTGAAAGGCAGAGTTACAGAAAGACAGAGACAGCAAGAGAGAGAGAGGTCTTCCATCCACTGGTTCACTCCCCAAATGGTCACAATGGCCAGAGCTGTGCCCATCAGAAGCCAGGAGCCAGGAGCCCCCTCCAGTTCTCCCACACGAGTGCAGGGGCCTAATGACTTGGGCCATCTTTTACTGCTTTCCCAGACTATAGCATAGAGCTGGATCACAAGTAGAGCAGCTGGGACTTGAACCAGCGCCCATATGGGATGCTGGCACTGCAGGCGGCAGCTTTATGTACTACACTACAGTGCCAGCCCCTCAACAGCACTCTTACAAGAAACATTCTTCACCTTAAGGGCACAGATAGACCAAAGTAAAAGGATGGAACCAGGTTGTCCTCGCTGGTGGAAAGCAAAAGAAAATAGAAGTAGCCATACTTCTATCTGATAAGATAGATCTGAATTCAAAAGCACCGGCACACCGGGTTCTAGTCCCGGTCGGGGCGCCAGATTCTGTCCCGGTTACCCCTCTTCCAGGCCAGCTCTCTGCTGTGGCCAGGGAGTGCAGTGGAGGATGGCCCAAGTGCTTGGGCCCTGCACCCCATGGGAGACCAGGAGAAGCACCTGGCTCCTGCCTTCGGATCAGCGCGGTGCGCTGGCCACAGCGGCCATTGGAGGGTGAACCAATGGCAAAGAAGACCTTTCTCTCTGTCTCTCTCTTTCTCACTGTCCACTCTGCCTGTCAATCTGCCTGTCAAAATAAAAAAAAAGATCTACAAAGAAAATAATCAAAAAAAAGAGACCAGGAAGGCCATTATATAATGCTGAAAGGTTCAATATTATAAAAGGAAATAACACTTGTAAATACATATACATCCAATTTTGAAACACCCATATACATGAAGCAAATATTGGAAGTGGCTGCTCCACTTCCAATCCAGATGTAAAGAGAGAAATAGACTCCAATACAATAAATAGAAGGTTTCAAAAATGGACAGGTCATATCGACAGAAAATTAACAACGAAACAGCAGAGTTAAATTACACCCTAGATCAACTGGACCCAACAGTTGCAGACTACACATTCTTCTCAATAGCACATGCAATATTTTCCAAGATATATGGTAGGTTACCAAAAAAGTCACAACAAATTTAAAAGTATAGAAATCATATCAAATTTCTTTTCTAACTGTAGTGCAATAAAACTAGAAATCAATAATAAGAAAAATGTTGTAAGTGACACAAATACATGGAAATTAAACAACTTGCTCCTGTACAACCAATGGATTAAGAAGAAATCAAGGAGTAAATTTAAAAATTTCTTCAAGCAAATGAAAATGGAAATACAGTGTACCAAAAACCTATAGGATACAGCAAAAGTGGTACTAGGAGAGATGTTTATAGAATCAATGTCTGCATTGAGAAAAAAAAACAGAAACCTCAAATAAGCAATTTAGCTCTCTATACTTCAAGAAACCAAAAATATAAGAACAAATCAAATCCAAAATTAGAAATAGTAAAAGAGCACAAATGAATGATAGATTAACAAAACAATACAAATAAGTCAATGAAAGAAAGAGGATGTTCTTTGAAAAGATAAACAAAACTGATAAAGTCTTATCTAGACTAACCAAGAAAAAAAGAGAGAAGTTTCAAGTACATAGAATTAGAGCTTAAAATGGACACATTCTCACTGACATCACAGAAATACAATTGTTACTCATTACTATGAACTACATGGCCACAAATCAAATAATCTAGAAAAAAATAGAAAACGTCTTGGACACATACAGCTTACCAAGACTGAATCACAGGAAACAGAATATCTAAACAGACCATCAGTGAGCAGTAAAATTGAATCAGTAATAATAATAATTTTTAAAAATCTCATATTGAAGAAAAGCCTAGGACCAGATGGCTTCATTGCTGAATTCTACTGAACATTTAAAGAAGAATTAACACTAATCTTTCTTAAATTATTTCAAAAAACAGAAGAGGAAGGAATTCTTCCAAATTCATTCTATGAGGCCTACATTACCTTGATGGCAAAACCGGACAAGGATATGACAAAAAAAAGAAAGTTATAGGCCAGTGTCCTTGACGAGCAAAGGATCAAATTCCTCAACAAAATACTCATAAATCGCCAATATCACATTAAAATGCTCATTATCATGATCAAGTAGAATTCATTCTAGGGATGCAAGGATGTTTCAACATATGCAAATCAATAAATGTGATACATTACATCAACAGAAGTAAGGACAAAAATATATGATAACCTCAATAGACACAGAAAAGGCATTTGATAAAATTCAACATCCCTTCATGATAAAAACTCCCAGAGGAGTCACCAGGAGCAGGAAGAGAAATCCACACACAGGTGAATTTGGACTTGCAGTGAAATATACAAACATCTGGGAGAGTGGTGCATTATCTCAGGTGGGGAGGAAGGTACAGCAGCAAATGTAAGGCCCTGGACTGGGAGTCACAGTGACCAAGAACGAAAGGGGTTGGCAGACAAGCAGGTGACATGCTCAGGGGCCAGACCCTGCTGGACCACAACAGCAATTTCCAGGTCTGCTCTCCCTCTAACAGAAATCCTCCGGGGGAGTCCACAAGGAATCTCTGGAGAGAATTTTGAAGGGACAGTAGCCTGAATGGATTAAAAAAAAATCCTAGTTTTTTCCCACTAATCCTTAATAGAAGTTTAACATTCACCTTAGTTATGAATACCAGTAACAAGCTGCAGTGGCATTGCCAAGTACCTGTGATGCCATCAGTGAACATCACAGAAATGTTCACATATATCTGCTACCCAACAGAGTAAAAGGTACAAAGTCCAGCTTCCCATCAGAAATCATCAGGTCAGGGCCGTCGCTGTGGTATAGCAAGTTAAGCCGCCACCTGCAGTGTCAGCATGGGCGCCGGTTCAAGTCCGGCTGCTCCACTTCTGATCCAGCTTTCTGCTAATGCATTTGGGAAAGCGAAAGCAACGGAAAATGGCCCAACTCCTTGTGCCCCTGCACCCATGTAGGAGACCCAGATGAAGCTCCTGGCTTCAGATCGGCTCAGCTCTAGATATTGTGGCCTTTTAGGGAGCGAACCAGTAGATGGAAGATTCTTTCTCTCTCTCTCTCTCTCTCTCTCCGTCCCCCCCACCCCCCGCCTTTCTGTAACTCTATCTTTCAAATAAATAAATCTTAAAATAAACCCTCAGGTGAATGGACTCATCATGCCATAAATGAGAGGAGATGCTGGTTCATACAACAGAGTGGCTAAATCTCAAAATAATGATGCTCAACAAAGGAGCTAGATGAAAACGCATATATAATATATGATTCCGTTTATATAAAATTCAAGAAAATACAAATGAATTGGCAGGACAGGAGGTAGGTCAGTGGTTGCAGAGGGAAGGACTGGCAATGGAGAAGGGTGGGAGAAAAACATGACAAAAGCAGGAGAAACCTGAGGGTGATTTTCACATTCATTATCTTGACTGGGGTGATGGTTACACAGGTGTTCACCAATAGGTGAGATGGTGTGTTTTGCATATGTATAGTTAGTTGTATGAAAATAAGGCTCTGAAATACATAAGATTAAACTTTAAATTCTCTAGGAGTTTGTCTTATGACTTTTTACATCTCTGTTATCTCTTTATAAAATCCCTATTTCATATTTTTGTATTAGATTACCTTAAAATATGTTATGAGCTGTAATAGATTCAGGTAACGTGGAATCTTTCTTAATTTTGTTCAGTTTTTCATTTTGTTTTTTATCTTATTTCTTATTTTATTCCTGTATCTTATTTTATTCTTTCCCAGATTGAAAACACTAGTTAAGAGATACCCATTTTTAAGCCTGTAAATGTCTATTTTTCCAGAAGTGAAGGACATTTCTAAAGGATCTCTGTAATTCAGATTATTCTACAGGACCAAGATGCACCTCCCCTCCCCCTCTCCATTTCTGGCTCTGTAGTTCGTTGGTGACATTTCCCGAGACACGCTATGCCTTGATTGCATTATAAAATGAGATAACTCTGTAAAGCATTTAGCTTGGCATTCAGTGCTCAACAAAACTTGGTGCACAACTTTTTAAACTGCTTAACATTCTTTTGGACAGTCACCTCACTGACAAGTGAGCTCTTCTATGATGATGAACGTCAGAAAATTTCAAGCTGAAATATGAGAGATACGCTCAAATTATTAGACAACCTAGTAAAACTGTGGTGTAGCTACTCTGGAAATAGAATTGAAAGGTTTTGAAATTTTTAAAAGATAGATTGTTTTAAAAATAACAGAGTTTGCATTGTAGTTGCCAGACTAAGATTGCAGCAAGAATTATAAACTACTTTATAGTCTTTCCTGAGGAATTCTCTGGCTATCACCTTCATAAATGTCAGTTCTTTAGGAGTGAATGTCACGAGGACGTTTTGTTTTGTTTTTATTTATTTTTTTGACAGGCAGAGTGGACAGTGAGAAAGAGAGAGACAGAGAGAAAGGTCTTCCTTTGCCGTTGGTTCACCCTCCAATGGCCTCTGCGGCCAGTGCACTGCGGCCGGCACACCGCGCTGATCCGAAGGCAGGAGCCAGGTGCTTATCCTGGTCTCCCATGGGGTGCAGGGTCCAAGCACTTGGGCCATCCTCCACTGCACTCCCTGGCCACAGCAGAGAGCTGGCCTGGAAGAAGGGAAACCGGGACAGAATCCGGCGCCCCGACCGGGACTAGAACCCGGGATGCCAGCGCCACAGGCAGAGGATTAGCCTATTGAGCCGCGGCAACGGCCACGAGGACGTTTTAACGTATGAAACACCGAATAGTTCACTGCCACTTCTCTGTTCAAAATAGTTACTCGTCACAAAGTCATTCACAAGACTATTTCAAGTTTCTGAAAATAATTCACTACAAGTGCCAAACAAGAGCAGGGAGAGAATTACTGTGACCACTAACTCCCTAAGTCAACCTCCGCATAGCCCAGGAAGGGCTGGCAAATACCAGTGTGGTGACCTGTCTTGTGCTTTCTCGGTGGAAGTCCTGGGATTTTGTGTAATATAACCCTTCCCCTCTAATAACTCAGCAGGAGCAATGCCTGCTAACATTTATTGGGTGCTTAGAGGTGGTAACTACTGGGTTATGCTTAATTCTAAAAATAACCCTATAAAATAGGGACCGAATGCATCCTCCCCGAAAAGATGAAGAAACCAAATAATATGCTCAGGTATTGCAGTATTTTATTTGTAAATAGGAACCCCCAAATAAGCTTTTAACCAACATGGTAGAACACTATTTTTGTAAAGAAATCATGAAACTCAGGGCAGGCATTTGGCCTACTGGTTAAAATACAAGTTAAGATGCCTACATTCCAAATTGGAGTATCTGGGTTAGAGTCCTGGCTCCACTCCCAACTTCAGCTTCCTCCTAACGCACATCCTGAGAGGCAGCAGATTATGGCTCAAGTAATAAAGTCACTGCCAACCTAGTCTGGACCCAGACTGATTCCCAGCTCCTGGGTTTGGTCTGGCCCATCTCTGGCCATACAGGCATTGGAGTAGTGAACCAGCAGATGGAAGATTCCTCCCTCTCTCTCTCTCTCTCTCTCTCTGCCCCTTCCATCCCTCCCTCACAAATAAATTTTTTAAAAAATTAAGAAATTATGAAAATAGAAAACATTCAAGTTTAACTCCTAGTAAATCTTCTGGCTTTTGTATTTTCTCTGTTTAATTATAGATTTATCTTCTCCTAGAATGTTATATTCAGACTGGTTTAACTACAATACAAAATATACCCATTATTTTTTCCATTTTTTTTTTAGGTAAGAAAACATATAAGCTAACTTATACTTTTATAACGATAGCAATTGAATGAAATGCAAAATTATGATACTACACGAATAGTCACTTTGACATAAGACTATTTTATGTTTGGGCTCATCGTTAGTAATTTGGGCAGTGTCGCTCCCCCTCTTCGTGGAGGAACGACACTAAACCCTGCCTAGGTTTCCTATCCGAGTCACAGCACCATTATGTCGCTCCCCCTCTTCATGGAGGAACGACACAGGACCCTGCGCTGTTCTTTTGTCTGCTCGGCCCTCCCCGGGTTTGCTGCTGGTTCTTCCCGGGTTGGCTACTGACCCTCCCACCTCCGTGGAAGGGCGATTCCCCCTAGCCACTTTCCCCACTTCCGCGGGGGAGCGGCACACCGCCGGCCGGCTCTCTCGGGGGCTGCACAGGTGTTCCTCTTAGATGTTCCTGGTGCATGTTGTCTCTCTCCTCCTTTATAGTCCTCTTCCACCAATCCCAACTCTGCTACCCACATGCCGAGTACGCTGCTCTCCTCCAATCAGGAACAGGTCCTGCTGCTTATTGGTTGAACTGGAGGCAGCTGCGCAGAAGTTGTTACTCCCTTCTCAGCGCCATATTGTGGGAGAGCAGATGCATAGAATAAGTCTTAATTCCAGTAACAGTCTAGTCCGAGTTGCTCCCCACAGGGCAGTGAAATTTTTCTAAGAAAACTTTCTGCTCTGATAGTTGATATTTTACATTTTAGTTCTGTTTATGGTTGGTTAACTTTTCTAGGTTTCACTATGCTTATAAAGCAGGGTTTTTAACTGTGATGTTCTTATTTATAGACAAGTCTTCCCGAAGTTTCTCTATTAAAAATTTTTAAATTAAACAAATCCGAATGGCCTTTTGTGGTTCTGGGGACACTGGCTTCTGTTCTCAATGGAACTGTTCATCCCATATTTTCCATCATCTTTGCAAAAATTATAACTGTAAGTAAAACTAATTTACTCATATTTTGAGCAGTTTTGCAGAAGGGATAGCCTGGAAGAGCTGACTTGTTGCCCTCTGATGAGCGAGGGGTAAAAGGTGGGATTTCTGTGGTTGCCCCTGGTGTGGGATGCACAGTGGAAAGTTAACCAGTGTTCTCAGTGATAAGCCCATATCCACTGTGCAGTGTTCCGCTGCGTCTGTCAACTGGGCAACCAATAAAGAAATCGCTTTGTGTTCTAATTTTAACTCCATTTCTATATCAGCATTCCAAAGCACAGAAGAAGCAATAAAGTTGACAAATCCAATCACTCTCTATTCAACTCATCGGGGCAGTGGCAATTTTTTATTACCAGCCAGGGAGAGGAAATAAGTTTGAGATGTGCCAAAGGACCCAGGATTGGTGGTAGATTCAAGAGCTGTCCTAGATCCGTGTTCAGTCTCCAGGCTCCCTGATTTGTACAGCTGCCTTTTGTCAATCTGAACACCGGTGTGCATTTAATTCCTAATTTTCAATTTGTAGAGGCGTATGTCAAGGTCTCACATTACCAAGTATAGGCTAAGTAGAGGAATAGTCAGAAATTCAAGTTATGAGGAATAGTAATTCAAGCTGGTGGTTCTCTGAAAATATACTGTTAGAACAGCATAGCAATGATTCATTCGTTTGACCTGATATTTATATAGTTCAAGTGGGATAACTTAAAGGAAATTACTTTTTAACAAATGTAATGAATGCAGACAATGGAATAACAGTGCACTTTTTTTTCTCGCAGAAATGTGTGTGTACTCTTACTCTCAGGTTGAAATTCATCCAAAAATCCTGATGCATACAATCGTTGTAGTTGCTTTTCTGTTTCTTTTATATCTTCCTGCAAACACTAATGAGGGGAAAAAAAACTATTCTTTTTCAGATGTTTGAACATGATGACAAAACCGCACTGAAGCATGATGCAGAAATTTATTCCATGATATTTGTCATATTGGGTCTCGTTTGCTTTGTCAGTTATTTCATGCAGGTAATCTTTTAATAAATTGAACAAGTGTAAGCATGATGACTCATCCCCTCTGGGTTAAAAATCTAATAACTAAATGTTACAAGAAAATGGAAAAAAGATCTCAGAATAAATGTTGGTTTCTTTCCTGTTTTCCAGGGATTATTTTATGGCAGAGCAGGGGAGAATTTGACCTTGAGATTACGACACTTGGCATTTAAAGCTATGTTGCATCAGGTCAGTGCGTTTGGTTGACTTTTTCTTATTTAAAACTTGTTGTGGGGCTGGCACCATGGCTCACTAGGCTAATCCTCTGCCTGCGTCGCCGGCACACTGGGTTCTAGTCCCGATCGGGGCACCAGATTCTGTCCCGGTTGCTCCTCTTCCAGGCCAGCTCTCTGCTGTGGCCCAGGAGTGCAGTGGAGGATGGCCCAAGTGCTTGGGCCCTGCACCCGCATGGGAGACGGAAGCACCTGGCTCCTGGCTTCGGATCGGCGCAGCGCTGGCCGCAGCAGCCATCTGGGTGGTGAACCAACGGAAGGAAGACCTTTCTCTCTGTCTCTCTCTCTCACTGTCTAACTCTGCCTGTCAAAATAAAATAAAATAAAAATAAAAAATAAAAAAAAAAAAACTAAAAAGGAGAGGCAGGGGCCGGCACTGTGGTGTAGCAGGTAAAGCTGCCCCCTGCGATGCTGGCATCCCAGATGGGATGCTAGTATCTCAAGTGGCAGCTTATCCCACTGTGCCTCAATGGCCACCCCCACTGATACTGTATTTCATATCTGTTTATTATTTCTGCTCATTTTTGAGTTTTATCATGAACTTATTTTTTTTTACTGTTCAAGGACATTTATTTTAAATTTCCAGAATAGATTTTAAATGCTTTCTGAGTGTCTGGGTGTTTTTCTACCGGAGAGTATAAATTTCAATTTTTTCCAAGTATGACTTTGAACTTGCTCTCTATTCATGCGTTAGTGGAGGAACCTCAAGGCAATGTGACCCAGTGACCGTAGTGCTAATTAATACTGGACATGAATCCTCAGGCTGATAAGAGATGGCAAGAGCCTTGGAGAAAGCAGTCTCTGCCCGTGAGATCGCTCCAATCCATACAAACACTTAACAAAGACAAGCGCAGCAGCCCTGTGCTACTGAGCAGAGCTTATTAAATTCCCCCTGAGTTCAACTCAGTTCCCTTCCGGATGGGGTCGTCTTCCTTCTCCCCCCTTCAGCATTCCTCTTGCTTCTTATCTTTGCCTTTTATAGCTGGAGGAGAAGATAGCAGGAGGGCACTTGGTCTTTTCTTTGCATCTTCACAAGTTCCTTCTGTCTATAGTCAGGGAGGCTCCTAATGTGTGGTTTTTGCCTGACTCTTGTTATTCCCTGGTTTTCATCCTAAGATAAGACTCTGAAGGCTTAGAAAGCGTGCCGAAGCTTGCCGTGCTTTTTATAACCATTTGAAACATCATTTGAGGTGGAGGTATTTATAGGATCAGGTGTGGTCCCTTTATAGGTATAAAATCTAAGTATGTGATTGCTTGAGGTTCTTCCAGTTGAAAAGGATATTCTAGATGTTGCTGACATCTAACGTTGTAAATAATTTATTGTTCATTAGGTCTCAAAGCTGGGTCTGTATTTCTTCTTCTTTTTTGTCACTTGAGAGACAGACAAGGATAGACAGAGACAGCTCCCGTAGGCTGGCTCACTCCCTAAATGCCCACAACAATCAGGGCTGGACCAGATGGAAGCCAGGAGTCAGGGACAAAATCCAGGTCTCCCACGTGGTGGCTGGCACCCAATCACTTGAGCCATCACCACTGCTCGCCAGGAACTGCATCAGCAGGAAGCTGGTACTGAGACTCACACCAGGCACACCAACGTGGGATGCAGGTGTCATAAATGGCATCTGAACCACCAGGCTAACTGCTCACTGCAGCTTACATTTCCTAATGATAATATTGACCTACAGAACTAGGAGGCTTTTGAACTGATAGAAATTTGGTTTTGTCCATTTCTCTCTAAATCAGCTAGGACTTAGGGAGGGTCTTTAATTCATGAAGATGATAGCACTGGTGGTGACCACTAAGGTCTCAAAAAACATTTACTATTTCTCAAATGTGAACCACAGTAGTCTAACATTGCTTTGTATACACTGTAAATGCTACAGTCTCAGCACTGAACATGTATTGATACCTCTCAAATGAATGCAGCCTTTGATGTAGGTGTTTTGATGCATCTCAGAAAGTATCTGTCTGTGAATGTGTTAATCTGTTTGATAATGAAGATACTTCCCATTCTTTTGTTGTTGTTCCATATTTTCATGCTTAAATTTGAATTTTTAGTACTGTTAATTTAAGTACAGTTTGCTCAGTGGTTAAAATGGGATTCAGTGAAGAAACTTAAAAACAGCCTCATTCATGTAACTGCTTAAGTAAAAACTACATTTTGTGTTCTATCTTCATACACTTTTCATGATCTGTATCTCTGTTTAAATATAGTGATGATGTTTAGGCTTTGTTTCTGTTTAATAAGGCTTTTTACCACTGACTAAATGAAGGGCTGTATCTTTTTGAAGAGATTTATATTCTGTAAATAAAAACTGGTTGAAACAATTAAAGAACCAGCTTATAGGAGGAGAAATCACACAATGGGGGACAGTGGAGGAGGACCCTGAACACTTTCTTTTCATAATTGTAAATAGAAGGAAGTGAACAAAAGCTGGAAAGGAACTAATAAATGTAACCAAAATAGAAAAAAATTCAAGTTCCTTCCAAGAGGATTTGAGGTGATGCGTCCTGCAGTAAGAGAAGCAGGTACAACACTCAACCATCCTGCCTCAGTCAGTGGCGAGACAGGACAAGATAACTGCTTAAAAACTCTGGCCTCAGTATTTGACAGTTGTGTGTTCTTGGACAAGTTGCTTAATCTTTCAGTATCTCAGTTTTCTCATTTATGAAAGTGCATAATGGGGTCGGCATCCCATAAGGCCACCACCTGCGGTGCTGACATCTCATATGGACGCTGGCTGCTCCACTTCCAAGCCAGCCCCTTTGCTAATGGCCTGGGAAAGTAGCAAAAGATGGCCCAGGTGCTTGGGACCCTGCTACCAACGTGGGAGACCTGGAAGAGTCTCCTGGCTCCTGGCTTTGGCCACCTGGCCCAGTGCTGGCTGTTGTAACCATCTGGGGAGTGAACCAGCAGATGGAAGACCTCTCTCTCTCTCTCTCTCTCTCTCTAACTCTGCCTCTCAAATAAATAAATAAGCTTTGAAAAAATGTGCATAATCATAGTATCTACCTCTTATTAGAGTTGTTGTGATGATGAAAGGAGAAAATACATACCAAGCACTTATAGTATGATGTAACTTTCATTTCTGTTAGAATTATTGGCAAGGGAAAAATGAATTTGCTAGTGACAAAAAGTCTGACAGCCTTACTTATGTTTACTTTACTATGAGGAAGAGAGAGAGCAAGCTAATTTTTACCCAGCACCAACTATGTTCCAGAAACTCTGTTAAATCATCATTGCCTCTGCTGGAAAACTTTCTAGTCTGTTGGACATGGGGCTGACTGAACACAGGATGATGACTAAGGCAGTCACATTTGTTTCCTGCCTGTTCTGTTGTAGCAAGTTATTGTTGAATCAGGAACAGGCTATTCAATAATAAATTCCTGCTCTGTGTTTTTTCTTTCTATTGTATCTAAAAATTCTTCACGAAGTCTATGTCATGTTGGAACCTAGAAACAATTAGGAAAGAAACCGCATCTCCTAATGGGCGAGGTTATCTGTAACAAAGCAGGTGACATCCTGCAGCTCAGTGGTACTGTAGCTCCTACCGTGGCTGATGTGAGTTCACTCTGTGAACACTCTTGGCTGGGGTGATGCTTCCAAAGCAGCCCCTGGGAAGCTGTGATCTCTGCAGGATGCCCTTTGGGCCCTAAGCTCACCGGGACAGCTTCTCAAGGCAGTAGGTCCCAGCGTGCTGCTATCTTACCCACGCCATGCCCACACTAGCTCCTGCCACATTCCTTCCTGAGATTTGCCTCGAACATGACTGCACAGTTTAACTCACGGCCCTCAAGTCTTGGTTTCCTTAGTTGGCAGCAATGTGAAACCCTGGGCCTCAGAGCCCTGGCTGGGTTGCAAGTAAGCTAACAGTTTTTTCATTCTTTACTGCTTAAAAATAAACCATTTTTAAGAGACAGTCTCCACGCAGTTTTCATACAAGAGGATGGACAGACTGAGAGACACTTGATAGGAAATGAGGATTCCTCGGGTTGAGAAGTGCTAAGAGCTCTGTTTGCTCTAGAAAATCCCATCGGCCAGAGGGCAAAGCTTGTGTTTCTGACTCTTCCCCTTCTTGAGGGAGCATGCCTCTCGGCAGCAGGGTTCCACAGTCTTCTGCCTTTTTGGCTTCTCGCATAGCCTGATGCTCGCAGGATCTAGGGGGCCGTGTGGAGTGTCAGAGAGAATCTTAACATGCGGATCCCGAAGAGAATGAGAGGAGCATGTGTTTGGCAGAATTAAGACGCCACTCGGGACACTCTCATTCCACATTGGAGCGTCTGGGCCCACTCCCTGCCTCAGCTCCTGATTCCGGCTCCCTGCTACTGCACACCCTGGGAAGCAGCAGCGATGGCTCAGGTAGTTGAGTTCCTGCCATCCGCTTGGGAGACCTGTATTGAATTCTCCACTCCTGGCTTCTTTCTGGCCCAGCCCTGGCTGTTGTAGGCATTTGGCAGTGAACAGTAGATGGAAGATCTTTGTCTGTCTCTCTCTCTCTTTCAAAGAAATAACAATTAATTAATTTTTAAAAGAAGTACATAGACTTTCTTATTAGTTTAAGTAGAAAGATTTGAATTTTTGTAAAGATTTATTTATTTATAAGTCATAATTCCAGGAAGACAGTCAGAGAGAGACAGAGAGAGAGATCTTCCATCCCCTGATTCACTCCCCAGATGGCTGCAACAGCCAGAGCTAGGCCAGGCTGAAGGCGGGATGCCGGAGCTTTATCCAGGTTTCCCACGTGGTGTAGGAGACCATCTTCTACTGCTTTCACCAGGCCAGTAGCAGGGAGCTGGATCAAAATAGACCAGCCGGGATATGAACTGGCATCCATATGGGATGCTGGCATTGCAGGCAAAGGCTTTACCCAGAACACTGGCCCCTGAATTAATTATTTTTTTTTTAACTGTGATATGCTTTGCTTCACTACGAAGTCTGCTCTCCACAATTCGCTTGTGGAATAAACCACAAATTACAGGACAGCTCAAAACAATCATTTTTTAACAATGATTACAATACAATACATTGTAACCCAGCAAGGAGGCCAAACTGTAGGACTTAAGTTCTTCATTTTATATCTAAATAAAGACCTTGTTGAAATAAGAAGTCACTTGATCTATAGTATCAAGAAGAATTAAGTACCTGCAAGTAAGGAGGCAGGTAAATGCCTTCTGATTTACTACAGCAAAAGCACAAACCAGAGAAGACAGTTCTGATAAACTTACGCTCATCCTTTTTTTTCCTCCCTAGGATATTGCCTGGTTTGATGATAAGGAAAACAGCACGGGAGCCTTGACAACAATACTTGCCACAGACATAGCTCAAATTCAAGGAGTATGTATATTTCTTAAATGGGGTGTGTATACGGTGTATACATGTGCATGTGCACACGTATGTCTATAAATACATGTGATCCATACAGGAGAACACATATCATGTACATCCATGAGATGACTCACATCATAGTTAGTTCATGGCTAACAGGGAACTCAGTGGAAGGTCCAAGAAAGAGTTTCAGTTCTAGGTATTTTTAACCAAAGATAAAAGGCATTTGGCACATGTAATAGAATAACCAGAGGACTATAGACTATATCAAGAGGGCCAGCACTGTGGCGTAGTGGGTTAAGCACCAGTTGGAGTCCTGGCTGCTCCTCTTCTGATCCCTGCTAATGGCTTGGGAAAGCAGTGAAGGATCGCTCAATTGGGCCCATGACATCCATTTGGGAGACCTGGCTGAAGCTCCTGGCTCCTGGCTTCAGCCTGGCCCAGGCCTAAATGTTGCAGCCATTTGGGGAGTGAACCAGCGTACAGAAGCGTGAGCTTTCTCTCTCTCTCTCCCTCCCTCTCTCTTTCTCTCTCTCTCACTAACTCTGTAACACTACCATTCAAATAAATAAGTAAATCTCTAAAAATAAATGAATGAAAAATATCAAGAATGAGTTCAAGAAAAGAGCTAATAATTAAATAATAAGAAAAAACTGAAAATGCACCCACTTTGAAAGTTTTAATAAAAGAAAAACATTCAGCTTCTTCTTCTCCCAGATAATCAGATCTTATTTAAAGCAAGAGCTAACAATTGTGATTCATGCATGCCTCTGGAAATGTTAGCTGTTAGATAAAGTTAAGTACAGGTGTATAATCACGATCAATCACATTATCACTAAGTGAAATGTTTATGTATCATATTCACACTCAGCAATGGAATGACCAGCATAATGTACGCCAAAGAGCTGAGATAAGTGTGGAAAAGATAAATAACAACATTGATTTTCTTTCAACTAGTTGGGTTTTAAAATTTTTGGTTGATATATAAAACTTGTGTGCATTTTTATGGAGTACCATACAATATTTCTATGCATGTATATGGCATAAACTGATCAAATCAAGCAAGTAGCATTTCCATTTTCTAATCTTTTTTTTAAGATTTATTTATTTATTTGACAAAGTTACACACAGAGAGAGAAGCAGAGGTAGAAAGAGAGAGAGAGGTCTTCCATCTACTAGTTCACTCCCCAACTGGCCTCACCAGCTGGAGCTGGGTTAATCCGAAGCCAGGAGCCAGGAGCCAGGAACTTCCTCCGGGTCTCCTATGTGGGTGCAGGGACCCAAGGCCATGGGCCATCTTCTGTTGCTTTCCCAGGCCATAGCAGAGGGCTGTATCGGAAGTGGAGCAGCCAGAACTTGAACTGGCACCCATATGGAATGCCAGCACTGCAGGCGGCAGCTTTACCTCCTATGCCACAGCGCTGGCCCCTAATCCTTTCTTTATACTTCTTTATACCACCAGGTCTTCTCTTCCACTTTTTATGCAATATCTAATACATTTTCGTGAACTGGTGCGCTGCAGAAATCTACAAACTTTCGCTTCTATCTGACTGTGCTTTGTTACACCTTACCCAACCTCGGTCTTCCCCTACACCCTCCTTTTCCAATCATTTGAATAACATCACTCTTCTAACAAGTGGGATTTCAACTCTGAGATAAAGAGTACAAAACAGGGTTTCTCGCTTTTAATTGAGATGCAATTTTCCATCTCTTTGTTAAAATAAGAACTCTGGTAGAATCACAAGCCTTCCTTTCACCTTCTCACGCATGTTTGCTGGAGAAGTGGAAAGCACCAGTGATCAACCTGGGAATGACAGAGAAGTCTTTAAAGTGTTTATTCCACTTAGAGACGCCGAGATGTCAATTACAGCATCGTTGCTAGAGCAACAAAAAACAGCTGTCAGAACTGCATGTTTCCTCTGGGAGTTATTTCCACCAGAGGTAGTAGCTATTCTAAATTTGGTAACTTTTACTGCACTGCAGAGCCCTTCAAAAGGTTCATGTAGAATGCGATTGAAAGACAAACTGTTTTAGTGCCAAAAAATTGATATCCATGCATAGTTTTTCCATGACACTCATTTTCCATGAACTTTTTGAAGATCCTGCAAATTCATGATTTCAAAATTTTTACCCCAAAATAAACTTTATTCCGTTCTTCAAGAAATTTTTAAAGTACTTTCATAGTTACCTCCATGGATAGATTTATGTTACTGAGGGAATGCAACAGGTTGGTCGCAGTTGTGAGTATTCACATGCATTCAGACCAGCTTGGAAAATTAATTTTATGACAGAGGAGGAGATCAAGAGGAAAGGGAGCATCTTGATTTCTTCCAAAAATTCTACTGCCATTTGAGAAGACCAGGCTCTAGAATTCCATTTCAGAATAGTAATTACAATTTTAAGAAGAGTGAGGAGCTCCGTTTCTGTGTTTTTCGCTTTGAAGGACAGAGAGAGAGAGACAGACATGAAGAGACTTTCCATCCACTGATCCACTCCCCAGATGCTCTCAACAGCCATGCCGGGGCCTTGTGAGAGCCAAGATCTGGGAACTCAGTCCCGATCTTCCACTTGACCCATCACCACTGTGCCAGGGCATGCGTTATCAGGGAGCTAGAGTCAGGAGCAGGGCTGTGACCCAACCCGGACACCCTGACATGGGATGCAGGGGTCCCCAAGTGAGGTTTTATCTGTAGCACCAGCTATCTGCCCCTGAGAAGCTCAATTTTTCAGGCATAAATGAAAAAATATTAATAGAACTCATTAATAAATAATAAGCACATCATTGAGCTCTGTAGCCCAATAGAATTATCTGAATAACACTACATTTAGGAATCCCAGAGTTCACTACTTCAGACAGAAATACCAATCCTTGTAGTTCCATCTGAATCCCCATTCCACAAAATTTCCTATTTTTCTCTTAGTTTTTTTTTACAATTTATCTTTCAAATGGATATGTTCTCAATGGAAGGAAGAGTTATTTACCAGTCTTATTTGTCCACTATTCACTGTGTCAGAGAGACATTCTAGACTAGAGATGTCAAAGAATAATAAATTGGGAACCTTTTTCCCACTGCATCAACTTAAATAAGTCATACTCCTCCTGAGCTGCTTCATCATGTAATTCCAGTTACATTGTATTTTATCAAATGTATTAGGGAGAATGTTCACAAAACAGCTCCTTAGTAATAATAAATCTTAGTTTGAAACCTTTAACGAATGACTGAAAAGATTTGCCTCTGGCCATTTTGAAAACTGATACTTTGAGAGTCATGATTAAAAACATGTTAGTGAAAAATAGTCATAGGACACCATGATTTCTAGAATAGTTGACTGAATATAACCAATTTAACTGGCATTGTTTTAGCCCAAGGTAATGGCTTCTTGCCAGTACATCTGTCAACAGACTTTTTGCTACGCAACAGTGCTTTCATTAAAGGTATAAACCCATTTTAGATTCTTTAGTCTAGATACCACAAACTACAAGGCATTATTTCTGTACATTTTAGTAACTCTTTTTTATTAGCCAGAAACCTTACCTCATTTTTGTCCACAAGAAAGCATGTCATTGACACTATAGTGTGTGGATTTTATATGCCATTGACAAACACAATGTTGGTGCCAAGAATCCTTCTCAGGAGAGCTATAATTATGTTGCCCCAAGAAATCATAAAATTTTTCATTTATTAATTCTAAGAGCCAAATGAGCTGATTAGTTAGAAGTAGGACAATGGTGGCCACATTTCTTGATTTTACTTTTCAACAAAGAAAGTGTCAAAATCAGCTTGACACAACTTTTGATTCAAAGAATGTCAGTAGTCTTTGAAATGACTTCACCACAGCATCAGGTTGGCATGTGGTTGCTGCTGTCTTGCAGCTTTCAACTGAATTAATTAAGAAGAACTATCAAGTCTACGGCTGAAGTTAATGTCCAAAACCAGGCAGGATATGATACTGGCAGTTAATAGTGGTTCATCTTCTACAAAGAAGTTTCAATCTTGGCTTATAAGACCAACTGAACTCAGCCACTGATATGGCTACTCTAATGATGAATGATAAATTCAATTATTTTCCACAGAATACATATTAATGAATAATAACAATGAACAATCATTGGCTTTAAACATTTTATATTTTCACAAGCTTTGTAAATTTTTCCCACTAAGTCTTTTTTTTCCCGTTCTACAATACTTATACATCTTAGCAGATTCCACTTCAGGTTGTACTGAGTTAGTTGTTATTGGCTTTTTTTCCCCAAACTTCTTTAAAAATACTTTCACCAGAAGTTATTCCACAAAGACTATTCATAGCACCTATCTTTTAGGTCACTTCAAAATCAGGAATAGCTCCTCAAAAACCAACTAAGCAGTATCACTAACTAATGTCAACCTGTGAAGCCCCAGGAAAACTATTCAGAATAATATACCTTGCTTTTTAAATGACCACTGGCATTGCTCTCTACATCTTTAACTCTGAGCAACTGTTCTTACCAGATGGCTGATGGTCTTAGATAGGCTATGACATCCGAACACACTTCTTCCACTTCTGCAAAAAACTATTACTTAAATAACTCACTAACTATTCAAAATAAAAACTTTGTATACTTCGCTGATAGATATGCCACTTAGGAAATTGCTCTGGTTTTTGTCTCATTTCATGTTTTAATGTGATAAAGAATTCTGCTAAGATGAGAGATTTCATTTTAAATGCTCTAATTTTTCTCCACATTGCTTTCCTGTGAATTGGGGATATTAAGGAGAGTGTTTGATCTAATAATGTTGAAATATTTTGTAAATTTTAGCATTTTATGGTGTCATGGCATAAATAACACCACCCTGTGGCATCTAACTAGAATACAAAGTAATTCAAAGTGCACAGTTCATTTCAAAGAATGACATTCAGAGACAAATTTACTCTTCCTTTCTTTATGCACTGGTAATTTTATTTACTCATTTATTTTATTATCTGAAAATGCAAGAGACAGACAGAAAATTCTCATGCTCTGACTCATT